ATCTGCCTGAGAAACAAGGAACCAGCAGTCTGTACACAAATGAATCAGATCTGTTGAACAGATGCACAGGCAACACTCAGGTTCTGAAACAGGACTGCAGTCCAGAAGTAGATAAACAGCCAAAGCTTTCCTCCAAAGTTTGCAGCCGGTGAACGCAAAGAAGAAGAAGAAGAAGAAGATGTGGTCAAGGCCTTTTGCTCGCAAGTGGACAATGCAGAAGCACAAATAGATCATTGGGGTATAGACAGAATGGTGCAGCTGGAAGTGACCCGGGGATCTGGCCATTGCTCTACATTTAGAGGAAAGGAAAGACAGATACATAATCAAACTGCTGCTGATACTAAACTTTTCTGGCTGCTGAAGATGAGGATGGAGCATGTGAGTCAGTGTCTCAAGTGCTGTGATGTTGGTACATGACTCAGCTCAGCTAACTCAACATCAGCCATTTGTATCTGATCTATTCAGGACATTACTTCTGTCCCACTAGGGATCTTCATGGCAAAGTGGTCAAGCTGTTTGCCTCACGCTCTGAAGGTCGTGAGTTCGTTTCTTGTCGTCGTCTTTCAGTTCACGAGTTCAATTTTTACAGAGATCCCTGGGGATCGTCGCCATGGAGGTTGTGCTTTATGAGACACTCTTGGCAGCCAGCTGGCTGTTCTGCTGAGAGAGACTGAGTCGTATGGGATAAAACCCGATGCAATGAAGGCGATCATCTCACCTTTACCTTTACTACTTGTGTCCCACAGCGTCTATATTAAACTCACTCAAACCTAAGTATTTACTGCTTTTAGACTTGCTTGTTGTACCCCACAAAGACATCACGCAAGCGATAAACACCAGGTGACACAAAGTGCCACTATACAAATGAGGATCACCCATGGAGAGCTCCCAGAAACCCTTTTCAGCCATTAGGCCATATCTGTGGCTAGGCCATATCTATGCCCCAGCTATATTCAGGGCCCCCAGGAGAAGCCAGGGTGGGGCTTCAGATAATGAAAAATTGCATCCCACATGGGGACGAGTGTTATTGCTAAAACTCAACTCCTCAACTCCTTGTGAAAATAGGAGTTAAAATAATCAATAACTGCTTGGTTATGAAAGAGAGAATATGACTGATATTTCATCATTGCATATAATTATGTATTTACCCTTTTTGTAACTGTACTATTTTCTCTTGTACAGAAACCTTGTCCAATGGTAAAGTCATCATTTGTATCCAGGATTACCTACTCTTGGGTATTCAGGTGAGAGGAAGAGTGAAATAACCGTCTGTTGAGAAACTGATTGGTAGATAAAATGAAGTAAAATAACTACTATCTGTGTAGAAACTGACTGATGGATAAAATAAATAAAATATAGTGAAAAACCCATCTTTTTTTGTAGAAACTGATGGATACAGTAAATAAAATAAAGTAGAATAAACGTCTTTGTAGGAACTGACTGTTGGATAAAATAAGGAAAAAAAATATGTTTGTAGGAACACTTTGATACAATAAATAAAATGAGGTAAAAAATCTTTCATGTAGGAACTGGCTGGTAGATAAAATAAATGAAAACAAAGTAAAATTGCCATTTTTGGAGGAACTGACTGATGAATCTGTTAAATTGTATTCATTTTATGACTCTTTCATGTGGCATTAGTAATGTCTGCATTTGTGGAGATCAAGCCATACTTGCCATAGCAAACAGATTGTGTGCATTTGCACATGATGACCTGAGGCAGAATATGTTATTAGTTGCCATGTGAGGGTATTTAAGACTGGTGTGACTTGTTTTAAAAAAAGTTCTTTCTGCCAAAAGTCCTTGTTGTGTGCTGTTATCATATTCACCCAATACCTTCTATAACATATACTAATAATCAGTTTTAATAAAGATGTTCCTCTATGCCATGATGCTAAACTAAACAACACACAGGTTTCTTTATTTCCACTTTTCCTCCAACTTCTCTGTTTAAAGTGAAGTGAAATAAAGCAAAGTGATGTGAAGGGAAGTAAAGTAAAGTAAAGTAAAGTAAAGTAAAGTAAAGTAAAGTAAAGTAAAGTAAAGTAAAGTAAAGTAAAGTAAAGTAAAGTAAAGTAAAGTAAAGCAAAGTAAAGTAAAGTAAAGGTCCCTTTGCACATTCAGCATTTGAGGCCAGACTGATATATTTATAGACCAGTCGGCTCGCAATAAGTGATGTGATCACCTTTACTTCCCATAACTCACCTGTACCCATTTAAGGCTGGGTCAACCTGGGAGCCAAAGTCATGTTTAAAAACAATCCGGCTCCATGCAGATTTGAACCCACGACCTTCAGATCTGCAGGCGAGTGTCTAACCACTGCACCACTGTGGCTCTCATTTAAAGATGTTACTCGACTGTTTAACTTACTTTGTGTCCACTGTCTGAAGATAGAAATAGTTATGTTTGTGTCTTATATATTTTGTTAGTTTTGGTGTAATTAGGTGTAACTTAAATCCAGTGGAATATTCAATACATCACCTATGAAGGACGGGTTTGTCTGTAGAACTGTGAGTCTAGCCTCTCATGCTCATGCACCACTGGTGGGTAAAGGGACCTTTGCTTTACTTTGCTCCATCTTTAAACAGGGAAGTTGGAGGAAAAGGGGAGCTAAAGAAACCTGCATGTTGTGTAGTTTAGCATCATGGCATAGAGGAACATCTTTATTAAAACTGGTTATTAGTATATGTTATAGAAGGTATTGGGTGAACATGATCACTTTTGTAAAACAAGACATGCAGGACCAGTGAATAACAGCAGAAAGTCACTTGACAGCACCATATCTGTGAACACACACTGTCTTTAATGTCAGTATTTACCACTTTTTTATGACTGCACAACTGAGGTCTTGAGTCTGAAGTTTCAGGCCACAAGGCTAGTTCTGTTGTCTCAAATTATGCAGGCTAGGATATTTATAGTTACTTGCAACAGAAAAATCTCCATCACCTACCCAGGGATTGAAACCTGGGCCTCCAAAATGAGAGCCCAGTATTCGAACCGCTTGATCAGCTGTTTTTCTTACTTCTATTTTTTCTTCTACTGCACCTCCCCTTTTACTGTTTCAGTTATCGAGGAAGGTATGCGATTTTGCTTCGTGCTCTTATGGCCACCTCGACTATAGACACATCATCTCTGTGCCTTCTCTTGGTTAATGAATGCTTATTATACTCAATTTTTTTTCTATTGTTTAAATGTGAAGCCCTTCTTACACACACAATATTTATTACCTAAGAACAGATTTGAGTCATCAGAAATTTGAAGTAATCAAATAAAGAAAAAAACTCTACATTAAAAAATTTATTGAGGACACCTACTTCTTCTTCTTTTGTTAAAATCTGCTTGTGCCGCTAGGCGTCGCAGTCTATCAGATGATCGGCAACCGAACCAGGGCGCGCTCAGTCGCTTCATATGCCGTGATGTTATGAAGTCTCAAGTTGTCCGTGACTCCTTCAATCCATGTTCTTCTTGGTCTTCCCCTGCCTCTTGGTGTTTCGATTTTCATGTTGTATGCTCTTGATGCTGGCATCGTTGGTTCCATTCTCATTAGGTGACCAAACCATTTCATTCTTTGCTTCTCAATAAATTTAACGATGGGTATGGTTCCAATAGTTCTTGTAATCACATCGTTTCTCACTCGATCTCTTCTGGTTTTATTCGCAGCCATTCTCAAACATCTCATTTCACAGATGGTTAGTCTTCTCTCGTGTTCTTTTGTTAATGTCCAAGTCTGACATTGATAACCTAATGTCGGTATAAAGATTGTATTTATAATTTGTCTTTTTATCTCAGCTGGGACAGCAGGGTGTTTTAAAATTGGGGCAAGCTGGTATGCGACATTGTTGGCTTGTTGAGGACACCTACTATCAATCCTTAATATATTCCTAGATGGATAATACATTATCTGTAAATTAATGCTTATATAATATATGTAGTTTTAAACAGCCATAAATATTAACTAGACAAATATAAATTGCTGTTGTATGAGAAGACTATAAATCAGACTTATAACCTGGAGTGGTTAAATAGGGTATATTTATGTTTAAAATTTAAATAACGTTATAATTGAAAACATTTAACATAGTTTTAAAACTATATATTTCAGAATTTAAAATTGTAAATAGGCTTTAAAAGCCAGCTGTTACCTTTGCTAATGCATATCATAATTTCTTTTGTTGTTGTTGTTTTCCTGTTAGTCATAATTGCTATCTAAATTGGTAAACTGATCTGTTACTTTAGTTATTTTTTCTCTCCTCAGTGTTACATCTGCCTGATCTGTTATTTATGTCTTCAGTGTGTTTATCTTATCTCTTGATGTTTTATAGTCTGAGTTTTGATGGTAAATCATCTATTTTTCTTTGCATTTCACTGCTGTTTTTATTTAGCAGAACAATATCATCTGAAAAATCTGCTTCACCTTGTTTTTCCTCCTTTATTCTTTCTTCTTTCTTCTTCTTGCTCCTCCTCTTCTTTCTTCTTTCTTCTTCCTGCTGCTCCTCCTTTTCTTTCTTCTTTGTTCTCCTCCTTCTTCTTCTCTTCATCTCCTTCCTCCTCCTCTTCTTTCTTTTTTTTTATTCTTCTTCCTTTGCCTTCTTCTTCTCATTCCTCCTCCTCCTCCTTAGTCTTCTCCTTCTTCATTAGCAAAATGGCACCAGGATACTTCACAGTCTGAGCACCTGAACATTTTCTTAAAATAATTGGTGTTAGGTTGACTACAGCATCCACTAAGTACTCTTTTGTAAAAAACACTCAGTTAAACAGTGTCCTTTACCTTGACATTATCACCAACAGGCCAGATTTTTCTAATTTACTTACAAATCCTAATTTACATGTGAAACAGTCCCAGAACATTTACAATGGAATGATTGATTCGATGTGTGCTAACTAATGTATGAAATGCTTCTGATGTCTTGTATTTATCTTATATCTTCTCTCACAGTCTTGTCTACACAGGATACAAGAAAGTTGTTGTTTTATCAGACATTTTCGATTTGCCACATTCCATGAAGTGTCGTTACATAGTGCCACATTTTCTAACAACATGGATGAAAGAACTGAGGAGGACAGAAACAAATTCAAAGTATGTAAAAAATTAAGCAAATTCTTTTTAAATGTAAAACTATAGTAACTGTAACGGATAGTTAATTGAATTGCTGACGTTTTTTGTACATTGGACTTACTTTTCAATAAACTCATGCGAACTCCTATCCTTTGCCATCTCATAATATATTCTTCATGAAATTCTGACCACTCAGAGTCTGAATCAACCAAAGTATTGATCACCTGTTGGACTGTGAAAAGCCTGGATCTACTTCACTTTCCTGTCGAAGTACTTGCTTCATCAGCTTCTCATTTCATTGTGAGTTTTCAGATTTGTTTCATGTTGAACCACACAAAGTAAATCCAAACACATGTGGGTAGCCATTCGCAATGACTAACCATGAGGTTTGATCACGATTGGTTGGTTATTTTGAGTTTGTGACGCGTTTTATCACATAGTACGCAAAGTTAAAAAAAAAAATTAGGTACAGTGGTTCAGCGGCAGATTAGGAAATAACCGGAAAAGTGGTTCCGTGGTCCTGCAGAGTTAAGGCAGCTAATTTCTGGGTTTGAAGAAGGTAGGGTGCAGTGTTACTTTTCTTTGATAGATGGGTATACTACATACATTTAAAGGTGATTTCACCAGAACTTTCATAACATGTTTTCACCAGGTTTTTTAAATAATTTGCCTGCATTCTAAATATGTTTCCATCATCTGCCTACAATTTCTATTACTAATTATCTAAAAATAGCCTAACTAATCATCTAAACATATTCTTACCACCCCTTCAAACCTATTTTAAGCAAAGATTGACTCATTAATGTATTGCTAATTTTCTAGAAAAGATCATCAGTCCCATCACATCTATGGAAATGGCTCAGTTTTATATAAAAACGGACCACTGAATGAAATCAAACCAACAGAGAAAACATACCTGCTTGCCTCTGATGATGGTTCAGATGAAACTAAAGTGAAAAATAGAAAACCTTCCTTGTACAAAGTTCTGGCAATTATTTTTTATCTACCTCTGTTCAAGTCCCAGCTGGTTGGACTGTTTGGGGATTTAATAATTTTTCTCAATCCAGTTCTGTTGGAGTAAGTACCTTTTTATTGAAATTTTGTTGGTTACTTGGTGACAAGACACTAAAGCTGAAGAGATGTTTACTTTATCGATTAGAAAATATCTTTAGTTCAAGTGAACATGAACAATGAAAGCATCAGCCAATATGTGAACAACTATTAGCGAGTGCTGTAAACCTGAAATAAACTACTGCTCATATTAAATGTAAAGAAATTTTTTTTTTTTTTAAAGTACAGTATTATCAGGAAGTCCCTGTGGCGGAGCGGCTAGACGCTCGTCGCGGATCGGAAGGTCTTGGATTCACTCCCTGGAGGAACCGGACTTTTTTCAAAAATGACCTTGGCTCCCAGGTCGACCCAGCCTTGAGTGGGTACTGGGTGCAGTCCCGGGAAGTAGAGGCCGCTGGCGGGATGCTGACTACATCATCTAGTGCCGATTGGTCTATAAAAATATAGGTCTAGCCCTATATGCCCTATACGCCTAAAGGCGTGGAAAGGGTCCTTTACTTACTTACATTATTATCATTAGTTGCACAGTTGCTCGGATCGAATAACCATGGAGTTATAATAAAGGATCTTAGCCATATTGATGACACAGTAATTTCTACTAGCAGAAAATGAGCAAGAGTCACAAGAGCTGGTTGGAACCATGGTTGCATAATGGCTAGACACTCTCCTGCCCACCCTTAGCTCCTGGGTTAGAATCTGCATTATGTCAGATTTTAAAAAGAATTGACATTAGCTCCCAGACTGACCCAGATACTGTCCTGTGAAGTAAAGATGGCCAGGGTGATTTTGACCACATTACATACTGAGTGTCAATAAGTCTATACAAATATGGGTCGAGCATCAAATGCCTGATGCACCATTGGTGTGAAAGGGTCCTTTGCTTTAATGACAAGATCTAGCGGAGCAAATAGCAAAGGTGCAGTGCAGAATGTGAATTAGATATTTACAATAAACATTCTAATAATTAGAGCAGAAAAGGAAAAGTAAACAGTGAGCATCAAGGCGAAGGGAGGGATTTTAAAACAAGTAAAAGAGCTCTTTCTGTCTTGGATTTATACATACAAATGATGGCATAGGGCAGGGCTATTCAACTGACGGCCTGCATTCTTAATCTGGCCCGTGGAGGCCTAGAAAGTGGCCCACTGACCATTGTCACTTGAATTGTATTAATTATTTTTGTATGCCGAGGTTCGGGCCTCTGACAAATGATAAACCTCATTTTCAAAATTTTGGACCCTGAGTAAACTTAGTTGAATGGCCCTGGCAATGTGAAACAGAAATATAAAACAGAAAAGAAATGGCCAGAAAGAGCTGAATGATGAGGTCTTTGTAATTCAGGGCACATGGCTTCTAGAGCTGTAGACTGCATCAGTGGGCATGAAGAAGACTACTGGGAGAGGCTATTGCTTACAAACAAATGCTTAGTATCTTGGTAATGCCCTGAAAAAAAATTATAATTTTTGATTTAATCCATTACCAAAGCACAGACAGCTGAAAAGACCATTTAGGGTTGCACACTCAGGTTTTTACACTGGTCAGGTCAGTGTAAATTATAAAGATTTGTATCACACATCAAATGGTACACTTCCTGTGTGGGTTCCTGGGTTTCATTGTGGAGAACAAAGAATAGACCCACTGCCCCCACCCCCCTAATGAGCGTGTAATAGGAGGCGGCTAATCAGGGATGTTTCCTTCAATGTCAGAGTACATCTGATTGAGAGACAAGGAACCAACAGTCTGCATTCAGATAAGCAAAATCTGTAAAATGGATGTGTACACAAAACTCAAGTTATGGAATAAGACCAGTGTCCAGGTGTGGATGAACAACCAGAACTTTCCGCGGGAGTTTAAGCCGGTGAACACTATAAAGAAGAAGAGAAAATAGTACACTAGTTTCTTTAAATAGTACATATTGGATTCGTTGGTACAAAAAGAGTTCACAGAAAAATATTAGCTAGCATTAGTCCTTATTTAGTCCTTAAAAAAGTCAAAACCTTTTAACTCATTATGTCATCTGTGTATTTAATATATTTTTTTTAACCACAGTGAAGTCATTAATTATGCAGAGCACAAGGAACTGTACCCTGTATGGCAAGGCTATGTCCTAGCAGCTTCGTTCTTTGTCATCATGTTTCTGAGCTCAATGACAAACAACTACCGCATGTATCATGCAACCAACATTGGCATGGAGGTCAAGACTGTGCTGACTGCTGCAGTCTACAAGAAGGTTAGATCTTTAAGATGTTACTGTTGGTTGGATTTTTATTGTCTGTCATTGAAAAAAAAAGTGCAATATGTATTTTTTTTATTGTGCATGTTTTCTTAATGAAGAAAAATTTAAACAGCACAATGGAAAAAGTACACAAAATAAGTGAATAAATTTTATTATTCTCTCCTTCTTATTTTGATAAGAGACTGTTACGTCAGGTTGTTCTTCATTTGCAACTTCCTTAGCTGGTTTGTCAGCTCTTTCTTTTCCGGGAACTTCACAGTGGGATTGTATCCATTACATAGTTACCTTAAACGGGTATATTTTCTAGTTCAGCATGGATGTTCTGAAAAGTATTTTAAAAACGATTTAATTATTTGGAAACTTTAAAAAAATATATTTATAATGTTTTTGAAAAAAATTTAAAACAATTTTTTCAGGGAAAGGAGAGACAAGAATTTGAAGAAAAAACTCAGATAAAACAAGATATAAAACAAAACGACCATTACTGTCTGTATTCACCACTTTTATCGGGGATGTTCTGTAAACCTGAAGATTTAAAGCCACATCAGACCGGATGTAAATAACACAGTAATACTTCATGTGTATTGATACATATGGACCATATCTGATCACTTATGGTACAATGTTTGGGAGAGAAGGCACTGGTGAAGCATCAGTATAGTTTTTTTACAACTGGTGTTAAACTCATTCTCAATTTCAGGCATTAACAATGAATGCTGAGTCCAGACGCAAGTTCACAGTGGGAACCATTGTGAACTTAATGGCTGTAGACTGTCCCAGTTTTCAAGAACTTACTGTACAACTCTATGTCGTCATCTCCTGGCCAATACAGATTTCAGTAGCTTTTTACATGCTGTATAATGAACTGGGGATTGCTTTTGTTGCTGGTAAGTAAAGAACAAGAAAACATGGCAATGATCGGTTGAGGACCTATACTCCAGTACTCCAGTGGGGGATAGCAGAGTGATTTGGGGTTTAACACCCCCCCCCCCCCCCCCACTTTTCTAAGAAAATATGTCTGGGATCTAAGTATGGAAAAAGATTTTTTTTAAACCCAGAAGCAGCATTTCCACCTTCTTTTTATGACACGCTTTGTCTGTTTCTAAAGATTTATTCATGTTAATTTTTTTTATGTGTACAGTGAGGTAGCCAGGAATTTACAAGTATGCAATACTCATGCGTGCACTTAACTAATCTAGGGAGTGAGTGATGGCATGATATCTTGTTTTACAAGGGCGTGGCTGATCCACATAGATAAAATAATATAGATTTGGGCAAGGCTCTTATTCTTATTCTTTCTTTCTTACTTTTTCGGCGCAACTATCTGATTTCTGCAGGCCTTGGAGAGGCCAATGGGGAACACAGGGTACTGAAAATTGGTTACAAACTCAAGGCATGAAAGTATATAATTAATGTATTATTCTTCTTCTACCATTCCAAGCCCTTAAGGTTCATATCACCTGCCTTCTTTAATGTTCCATGGCTATTGTCATTTGAAAGCATTTATAATACGATGTCATTGAAACATTCACCATTAGGGCAAGTTTAATGGGATAGATTTTAGTTCAGAGAGCTGAATAGAAGGACTGTTCTCCCCCCCCCCCCTCCAATAGCCTATTCATGTGTCAAGATTAGCTAGGTTTTCCAGTGCTAAGATTACTGGAACATAAACTTGAAAGGGACGGAGGGGGCGTGGGGGAATTACAATCTTCTTCTCCTCCTCTACCTCCTTATCCTCCGTATTCTGAGTCCTTGAGATTCAGTGCTACAGGTAATACCTGCCAACATTTATTTTTATGACCGGCCTTCTCTGCCAACTTTTATTTTTATGACCGGCCTTCTCTTTACAGTTAGTGTCTCCGTGTGTCTGTAGTTCTGCCTGGAAATGATCTCTCTACTGTCTTTTTGTTGTGCCTTGTGTCTGTTCCTATTCAACTCTTTTGTGTATGCAGTTCTTGTCTTTTTGTTAATTGCCATTCCCTCTTGATGCCAAACCGTTGTAGTCTGTCAGCCATCATGGCGCCAGTAGTTAGATGCCAGATTATGAGTTCTCTTGTTGCTTCCGCTCTCCATGTTCCACTGGTCGGCATCTTTGACCTTGGTGATCTAATTTGTTAATTTAGTTATCACGGCACACCTGAAAGTCTCTCTTTCTCTACCAAATTCTCCTGCCTTATGTGTCTGTATCCACATTCGTGGAGGTCTGTCTCTGCCTCTTTTTCCAGAAACTGTAATCCCCCCCCCCCCCCCCCCCCCCCCCCCCCCCCCCCCCCCCCCCCCCCCCCCCCCCCCCCCCCCCCCCCCCCCACCCCCCCCCCCCCCCCCCCCCCCCCCCCCCCCCCCCCCATTAACATGTCTCTACAGGCCACCATGATGTTAAATGTGACCAAAATACCTCAGCTTTCAGAACAGAGTGCTGTCTATGAGCTAATTCTCCTCTATGCTCTGATCATGTAGGATTGTGCTCTGATTGTGCTCTGATCATGTAGGATTGTGCTCTGATTGTGTAGGATTGTGCTCTGATCATGTAGGATTGTGCTCTAGTCATGTAGGATTGTGCTCTGATCATGTAGTACTGTGCTCTGATCTTGTAGGATTGTGCTCTGATCATGTAGTATTGTGCTCTGATCATGTAGGATTGTGCTCTGTTCCTGTAGCATGGTGCTTTGATCAGGTATGGTTGTGCTCTGATCATGTAGGATTGTGCTCTGATCATGTAGTATTGTGCTCTGATTATGTAGGATTGTGCTCTGATCATAAAAGATTGTGCTCTGATCATATAGAATTGTGCTCTGATCATAAAAGATTGTGCTCTGATCATATAGGATTGTGCTCTGATCATGTAGGATGTTGTTATTTTACTTCTTCTTGGTCCATGATATTCTAACAATTTTTCTGTAGCATTTCATTTCAAAGCTGTGATTTGTCTTCAAAGATTTAGTCGATGTCCATGAATTACACCTATAAGTTGCCACAGAAAGATGCATGATCTCAAAATATTTACCCATTTCCAGAAGTCTTGCCATAGGTTCTTCATGCTGTTAAGCCTCTGCATTAATGAAGCTAGTCTTTTTCTGACTTTTGTACAGTCACCATTTTTTGTTTCCACCGTTGAGCCTACATATTCAAAATCTATGACATTTTTTTAATCTCTTCATTATCTTTTTGAATATGTGGCTAGTGTTCTGTATCTATTGTGATAATTATTTAATTAGAAATTTCAATGCATCTTCATCAGCTGTGTTGTCTCTCATTACAGGCATTGTTGTGTTGCTGTTGCTAATCCCTACTAATGCTGTACTGTCCTCACTTACTAAACGTGTGCAGGCAAAACAGATCTACCTGAAGGATCAGAGGCTGAAACTGCTGAATGAAATTCTCAACGGAGTCAAAGTGAGCTATTAGAAGTTGCTGCGTCTTACTCCTGCCAGTTACTTTGCATTTATCTCTCTGTCTGCATGAATCTATATGAGATGGTATAATAGCTTCTTTACAGTGATTTCTGTGATGAGAAATTGGAGTTCTTGATTCCTTATAAGGTTTTATTAAATCAGACTTTAAATAATATTTTACAAGATTTATTTCATTTCAGTGAGTCTTTATACTATCTGTGTGAACCGCATCTCATGTGTTGACAGTGCAGCTGTCGAGATCACATGGTTAAATGACCATCATAAATGGAGACCTAAAGGCAGTGGGCAGATACAGATATTATGAGTGATCCAAGATACCTTGCAGAAATGAGAACATTAATCGCCATTGCAAAAGTTGCCTTTAGCAAAAGGCTGCAGATTCTCACTAATAAGAAGAAGTCAATTGCAGTGAGAAAAAGAGTGTTAAAATGCTATATAGAATCTGTGTTGTTATATGCAGACATGGACAATAAGCAAATGAGCTGAAAAACATTTACTCCCAACAGAGATGTGGTTTTTGAGAAGAATATTATGGAGGAACAGAAAAATAAACGAAGCAATTTTCATGGAGATAGATGAGAATTGTATATTTATTAGAACAATTAGATGTAGACGACCAGTGTTTTAGAAAAAAAACATTGTGACCTGATCTGTAATCTAGTAATCATGTGTCATGGGGAAACATAACAGTCTTCGCTTTTTGCCATGGCACATGATGATGATTATGATGATAATGATGATGAACAGTGAATCACTAGATAAATCATAGTTTGGTTACTGACACAGAAATCTTTTCCTTTTTTTCTCCTTCATTACTAGAGTATGTTAAGTTCTGAAGTAGAGTTTTTAAACTGTTTTAATTTAGCACAATTTAGCATATATCATTACTAGGCTGTTAGCATATGTGAAGTTAAGAAGATGTTTTTAAAATTCTCTTAAAATAGCATTTTGGAGCATATAAAATCGTGCGACTGTTGGTGCAAAAAAAAAAAAGGTTTCCAGACTCTGTACAGGTGTCTGATCATGAGCAGAACTTGAGAATCAGGAATCTCCACTCTGTCATCTCTCCTGTTACGTAGCCATAATAAATGATTATTTTCTCTTTTTGTGTGCATAGAATGCATATTTATTATGTCTTTGCTATGTTTTACTGTACTCTGTTTTCTTTTAATGCACACATTATTTTACATGCATACATTTTGTTATGGGCCCACATTATGTTACATGCACAAGTTATGTTACAGGCGCACATTATGTTACAGGCACACATTATGTTACAGGCACACATTATGTTACAGGCACACATTATGTTACAGGCACACATTATGTTACAGGCACACATTATGTTACAGGCACACATTATGTTACAGGCACACATTATGTTATGGGCACACATTATGTTGCATGCACATTTTATGTTATGGGCACATGTTATGTTACAGGCACATATTATGTTATGGGCACACATTATGTTGCATGCACATTTTATGTTATGGGCACACGTTATGTTACATGCATACATTATATTAAATGCACACATTAGGTTACATGCACATATTATGTTACATACACACTTTAGGTTACATGCACATACCATGTTACAGGCAGGCATTATATTACATGCTGTAATGATGTTATAAATAGGGATAATGTCAGGGGATGATTGGCATAACTGGGGAAGTCCCTGAGAGCATGGGTTTCATGGAGATATGGTGAAATGACAGGAAAGAGTGTGTCAGGTGTGAATGAGGAGATCTGGGGGATTGAGAATCAGGCGGGCATTCGGTGACTGGGCCCCAGAGAGAAAGGATGGAAAATGAAGCTGTGAATATGAATGGAGAATGACTAGAGCATGTGGATCTGAATCGGCGAGGAATGAATGATCGAGAAGGCCAGCTGTGATGGTACCCTGTTTGATTGTCAAAGCCAGCTGTGAATATGTCAACGTCTATTGTCCGAATGCTGTAAGTGGATTCACCTGTGATTTGTGTATTGAGCTAACGTGTAAATAAACTCGTGAAATGTGCCGCTGGTGTTAACCGTTGTTAGACGTTGTGTGACCATGAAGAGGATCATGTCTGCTTTGATTGAGTTGTGAACCTCTAGACCTCAGAGCCTGTGTTAACTCTGCACCACAGATAGCCAGTGTGGAGGAGACACAAAAGGGCAGTCATTACACATGCACACATTATGTTACATGCACACATTAGGTTACATGCACACATTAGATTTTATGCACACATTAGCTTTCATGCACACATCATGTTACATGCACACACTATGTTACATGCACACATTATGTTACATGCATATAATATGTTACATGCACATATTAGGTTACATGCACATATCAGGTTACATGCACATATTAGGTTACTTGCAAATATCAGGTTACATGCACATATTAGGTTACATGCACACATTAGGTTACATGCACATATCAGGTTACATTCACAAATTAGGTTACATGCACACATTAGGTTACATGCACATATTAGATTACATGCACATATCAGGTTACATGCACATATTAGGTTACATGCACATATTAGGTTACATGCACATATTAAGTTACATGCACATATTAAGTTACATGCACATATTAGGTTACATGCACATATTAGTTTACATGCACACATTAGGTTACATGCACATATTAGGTTACATGCACATATTATCTTACATGCACACATTAGGTTACATGCACACATTAGGTTACATGCACACATTAGGTTACATGTTAGGTTTCAGGGACAACTTAGGTCACATGTTCACATTATGTTACAGGCACACATTATGTTACAGGTGCACATTATGTTACAGGCACACATTATGTTACATGCACACATTATGTTACAGGCACACATTATAATATCAGCACACTGTATGTTACAGGCAGATTATTAAACCAGCAAACTGTATGTTACAGGCAGATTTTGTTACAGGCACACATTTTGTTACAGGCACACATTATAATATCAGCACACTGTATGTTACATGCACACATTATGTTACAGGCACACATTATAATATCAGCACACTGTATGTTACAGGCAGATTATTATACCAGCAAACTGTATGTTACAGGCAGATTTTGTTACAGGCACACATTATAATATCAGCACACTGTATGTTACAGGCAGATTATTATTCCAGGTTCACATTATGTTACAGGCACACATTATGTTACAGGTGCACATTATGTTACAGGCACACATTATGTTACATGCACACATTATGTTACAGGCACACATTATAATATCAGCACACTGTATGTTACAGGCAGATTATTATTCCAGCACACTGTATGTTATAGGCAGATTTTTGTACCAGCACACTGTATGTTACAGGCATATTTTTACACCAGCACACTGTATGTTACAGGCAGATTATTATACCAGCACACTGTATGTTACAGGCAGATTATTTTACCAGCACACTGTATGTTACAGGCAGATTATTATACCAGCACACTGTATGTTACAGGCAGATTATTACACCAGCACACTATGTGTTACAGGCAGATTATTATACCAGCACACTGTATGTTACAGGCAGATTATTACACCAGCCCACTGTATGTTACAGGCAGATTATTATACCAGCAATCTGTGTGTTACAGGCAGATTAATATATCAGCACACTGTATGTTACAAGCAGATTATTATACCAGCACACTGTGTTACAGGCAGATTATTATAACAGCACACTGTGTGTTACAGGCAGATTATTATACCAGCACATTGTATGTTACAGTCAGATTATTATACTAACACACTTTTTGTAATAGACAGATTATTATACTAGCACACTGTATGTTACAGGCAGATTATTATACCAACACACTGTATGTTACAGCAGATTATTACACCAGCACACTGTTTGTTACAGGCAGATAATTATACCAGCACACTGTATGTTACAGGCACACTGGCAAACATGGTACCGGCACACTGTATGTTACAGTTATATTTTAGGACGGACACACTGTTAAAGGCACATTATATGTCATCCATTAATCCCAGTTGCCCAATGTGCTCACCAAAGACGTGAGCTCAACAAACTGTTGTGTCCACCTTAATATAAATGAGCTCACTGCCCAGAGGAACAGCATCAGCCAGTAGCCTGCTCATGTACTAAATAAACACTGTCCCTGGCATTGCAGGTATTGAAACTGTATGCATGGGAGCCATCCTTTCAAGCCAAACTGACTCAGATTCGTCAGGCTGAAATTGTGCAGCTAAAGAAGGCAGCCATTTACCAGTCAGTCAGCACACTGTGTTGGTTGCTGTCACCCGTTTTGGTGAGTTCCTACAGCTTTATTTGGTTAGAATAATTTGCTGCATAAGTAGATCCCAAGACAGTAATGCAGTGTGGAGATAAACAACTGCAACATATTGTTTCTGTTACTGTTCTAATAAAATGTCTCAAATGATTTACCTGACTGATGGGATAAAATCCTGTACTTCATATATTCAATTTCACATGGTTAGTTTTTAACATGATCTTGATTGACTTAGAAGAATAAAAACACTGCATTCAGTAGCTTAAGAAAAGTAATTAACACCTAAAGAAAGTGAGAATAGTCAATTTACATGTGTGTATATACATTATGAATATATTTGTGTGTGTGTGTGTGTGTTTAAACACCTGCACACATTTCAGTCAGGGAACTGCCATGGTGTACTGACTAGATCCTCACCTACGGACACTTAGGTCAAGTGTTCAAATCTGCATGGAGCCTGACTTTTTCTAACATAACTTTGGCTCTCAGGTCAACCCAATTTAACATGGGTACCACATAAAGTCCTAGGAAGGTTGGCCATAACACTACCGAGCACCCACTGACCTCAAATATAGATCTCTGACTATATATAGTCAATGCTCCTGAGGAAGAAGAAACTGTGAGCTCAGGTCAGCTTTAATTCGAACCCATGACCATCAAGTAAGCAGGCAGATGTGCTAGTTACTGTGCTGATAATGCTGCCAGGGCTAGGGATAGACCTGGCAGATGAGTTATTAGCCAAATAGCAGTGACGGTAAACACCAACCTATGTGGAAAAAAACAACAACAGCTAGTTAGTTGTGTATCCTTTACAAGATGCTGCAGGACCAACCCGAGCATTTTTTGGCTGTTGTGGTTTATCTAGACAAATTTACACCAAATAGTTTGCCATTGCTTTCTGGACGGTCAGCTTCTTAATACCACTGTCGAAAACCAACAAAAGGCCCACAGCTGGGTTCGAACCTGGCACCCGACATTACAAAGTGTTCGCATCGCCTAAACCACACACGCCAACAACCTATGTGACGCAAACACTAAATGTGGCAGATATGCAGGCCTACAGTTTTTAGTCTTAGCAAATTATTTGCTGTTGCTTAGGGTTAGCTATTGTATTTTCTGTGCTGGCCTCGACGGTTCCTCAAGGAATTAAGCCAAACATGATCTAAAACTGATCTATTTACCTACACAATGATAAAATTCCTAGGTGTAAAGGATCATCTTTGACTTTTGAGAACAAAAATTCACAGAATAACTTTGAGACGTCCACTCGCTTTTCAAATTTTATTGTGAGGTCCTGTTTTCAGCTCAAAGTTTTATTATGGTGTCCTGTTTTTTTGCTAAAAATGTTATGTTCACATTAGATAAACCCCTCAAAAAAAAAACACAAAAAAAATTATTTAAAAAAAAAACAAGAGGAAAATAAAAATATTTTTAATCATGTCAGAAAGTAATGATAGTTGTATTGCTTATATTTCAGGTGACGCTGTTTACATTCATTGCTTATGTACTGATAACCCAGGAATCTCTGACTCCCAATAAGGCTTTTGTGGCTATGAATTTGTTTAACACCATCAGGCAGCCAATGAACTCACTACCCATGTTGATCTCACAGCTGGTTCAGGTAAGGAGATTGATTTAAAGACTATCTCATTCTGCAAATGTCTTAACTATGTTCCGTCCCAGAAGGTTATAGTTGATGCTCCAGGTAAGTATTATAAAATTATTCCTCAACAGTCCCTGTTCACTTTGATGTATAATATGTGTATTTTGCACGGCAGTTGAATTAGTATGGTCTGTTTTAATGTTTAACACTTGTAACATTTCAAAATTGTATCACCACCCCTTGGGCCTGTGATGCTAAACACCCTGGGACTCAAAGAGTTAAACTGGAGTAGTCAATAAAGAATTAAAGTGGAAAAATAATTCCACACCAAAATATTCCAAAAATTTATTCTAATGATTATTTTAGGGTCAAATAGTGTGCATGTCTGGCCACTTGACATATGCGATTAGGGGATGCATCGCATGCTTGCCACATATCTAGGGATTTTTATTTATAAATGTCAATACTCCACACCTACACACAGGGTTACCTCAGACGACCAACCATGGCTGCCTACTCTCATTGGCATGGTACATGCTGATGGAGATTATAACTGGAGTACAGGATGGCCAAGCCAGACAAGAACACCACTTTAAGCCAGGCACACGTAACAAATTAACGTGTTCTTTCGTAACCACTAACTTTGTCTACAAGGAATGTAATACAATACACTACGTCAAGTATGATCTTATAGTGCAGTCAGCCTCTTTATTATGGACAAACACATTGCGGTGAAGATGACCTGGTGATTAATGACTCACTGTCTATCTACCACCTGCGAAATACACTCACATTGGCAGTCTCTCCAGACATGGACAAAACACCCTAGCAAAGTCGACTGTACATAAAGTCACCTTTATTTTCGGCATCAATGGAAATGAAAGAGCTGATAGGTTGGCTGGATCCACTATCACTACTGATGGTCAGCCTATGGATCATGCTGATATCATTAATGCCCTACGAGAAATTGGAAGGGTGGAGTACTTTGGGGTTCAGTGAATCCACATCACTCACCAGAATGAAAGACTTGGGAGTTGAGGTCGGCATAGCAGAAAATAGCCCCAAATGTTTACTTCACAGCCCGTCAACACAATATGAATTCCTGTGTGTACCCATGCTTTACAAAGCCCTGGCTTCATTAACTCTTTATACACTACATTGACTTTGGCACACAACACCATTGACTTATGCAGAACGGCTTTTATCCTTAACCGTCATACATGCTTTCTGTGCACCACAAACCACTTGACTCGTTTGTCTATGGGAAAGGGCATCCTGTCCTGCAAGTTTCTATAGCAAATCATTTATTTTACAGGGTGGGGGAGCTGGCCCCATGCCCAATCCTCCTCATTTCTCATCTGGGCTCGGGCCTGGCAATGGAGGAGATCACAGTATGCTGAGCATATGCTTCAACACTGTTAAATGTATGTTGCCAACAGAGACACAGTCTGGTCTGTTCCAATCACAATGAAGACAAAACTGTATGGTACATGAGGAGAAATGGACTGCACGATAGCTTTTATAAGGCTACTGGCCTCCTGATATAAGTTTTCTGACAGAAAGATCGAAGAAGTGTTAACATACCTATGTCCACAGTATGGTGTTAACATTATCTATAGTGCCATGTTAAATGTATCCACAGTGCCCATGTTAACTGTGTTCTCAGTGTCACATTAACTGTGTCCACAGTGCCATATTAAGTGTCCACAGTAACATATTTACTGTGTTCACAGTACTATATTAACTGTTTACAGTACAATGTTAACTGTATCCACAGTGCCATGTTAACTGGGTCCACAGTACTATGCTAACTAACTGTATTAAAGTGCCATGTTAACTGTGTTCACAGTGCCATGTTAACTATACTTACATACAGTGCCATGTTAAATGTGTCCACAGTGCCATGTTAACTATACTTACATGCAGTTCCATGTTAACTGTGTCCACAGTGCCATGTCAACTATACTTACATGCAGTGCCATGTTAACTGTGTCCACAGTGCCATGTTAACTATACTTACATGCAGTGCCATGTTAACTGTGTCCACAGTGCCATGTTAACTATACTTACATGCAGTGCCATGTTAACTGTGTCCACAGTGCCATGTTAACTATACTTACATGCAGTGTCATGTTAACTGTGTCCACAGTGCCATGTTAACTATACTTACATGCAGTGTCATGTTAACTGTGTCCACAGTGCCATGTTAACTATACTTACATGCAGTGCCATGTTAACTGTATCCACAGTGCCATGTTAACTATACTTACATGCAGTGTCATGTTAACTGTGTCCACAGTGCCATGTTAACTATACTTACATACAGTGCCATGTTAACTGTGTCTACAGTGCTGTGTTAACTATATTTACAGTGCCATGTGTCCATGATAAGGCTGAGAAATTACTTATCAGGAGAAGATCTTAAGGAAACTGACTCTGTGGTATCCTCAGAAGGTAAGAAAATCTGGGTATAAAATTATCTAGCTAATTCTTCGACAAGTCAACAGAAACACTGCTATTTCTTTTGTTTTTTTAGTTTCATTATTCGAATATAATTTTCTCCTTCTGCTAAAATAATTTAATTTGGTTACTCCCCGTGTGGGTTCCAGGGCCCTATTATAGGGTAAACGAATAGACCAACTGCCTACATGGGTAAATGTTGTAGAAGCGACTAATTGGGAGCTTCCTTCGAATTAAGAGTGCATCTGCCTGAGAGGCAAGGAACCAACAGCCTGCATACAAATGAGTCAGATCTGTCAAACGGATGCACACGCAACACCCAGGTTCTGAAACAGGACTGCAGTCCAGAAGTGGACGAACAGACAAAACTTTCTGCCAGAGTATATAACCTGTGAACGTGAAGAAGAAGAAGAATTTGGTTACCTCTCCTCTGTTCTACTAGTCTCACAAGAGTAGCACATAATAGTCATCCATAATTATAACTTTTTAGCACCTCTAAAACAGTATAAATTAATTAACACAAATTGTTTACTTTTTACGAGAAAATCAGCAAGCATTATGGCATTGCATGACATAACCACTTCAGTTTTCATAATAAGTGCGCTTTAGTTTCTTGCATGGATTACCTCAAAAACATGTGCCAATTTCCCCATAAGCCATTTACTGTAAACATAGTAACTGTTTGTTTTGAATTCATATACCACAAATAAGGCAGAATGAAAACTAGTGTTTGTTTACAATATATTTTTTCCCAACAAGGACATGATTGTTATTTGCCAGATTTCAACAATTTACACCAAACTGTTACTGAGTTACAAATTTGTTAAGTTTTTGGAACAGGCTATAGCAACCTCATAATCTACAATGCAAAACAGTTGTGAAAAGTGACCATAGAAATAACGTAAGTATCAGCTAGAGAGATAACTAAATAGCAAATGTGATATTGTACATACAGTGCTGGTATCTGCTTCAGCCATTTAAACAAGTGCTCTTTTATCAACAGAGTTGTTAAGCTGCATTTATTGTTACAATTTTCAGAATATCCATTGACTATGAGAAATGCAACTTACACATGGGATAGAAATATGGAGCCAGTCTTGAAAAAGTGAGAACTTTTTATCCACATCAATGAATTTGTATGGACATGTAGTTTTTGTTACAACTATTCTGTTGGATATGGAAGTAAATTTCTGGTATCTAACAAGATGAGAAAATTTTAACTGTGTAAATGTAACTTATTGTCAGTTTCTTTTTTCTAATGGGTTAATAGTGGACTTGCTAAAATGACATTTTTTCGGGACTGAAAGGCACAGCCTTGCTGTAAACCACAACATAACATACCAACTATTTTAAGGGTAAATTCAGAGAAAGATGACTATTCTTCTATTATTCTTGTAATAGGAGCCACAGGGGAGGAGCTCAGAAAGAAAAAGACAGAGATTAATTGACTTTTAATACAGCTGTTGGAAAACTATTTTTGCAAGTAATTTCTCAGAAGTCAATGTTTTGGGTCATGGCCAGCAATCTGAGGTTTGTTTAAAAAAAAATGAAGGAAAGCAAATGAGACTAAATCAGTCCACATTTTAATTTGCCATTATCAAGGAAACTTCATCAGAAATGTCAGCTGGATAGAAAAAAATTACATGTTATAAACCAGATTAGTTAGTTGCGTATCCTTTACAGGACTTGCAGAACCAAGCCCAGCAGCCCCTGGCTGTTATGTGGTTTCTCTAGGCAAATTTATGTCCAGTAGTTTGCCATTGCTTTCTGGACGGTCTGACCCCTGATACCACTGTCGAAACCAATGCAAGGCGCATGGCCCGCAACTGGGATCGAACCTGGCACCCTGGCATTACGAAGCGTTCGCATCGACTTCGAATAAACCAGGACTTGCACCAATATTGTAAGCTGGATAGATAAGATTAAATTTGTTAAAATCTTACAAATCAAGACTTGCACCAGAAATGATAACTGGATAGAACATATTACACTTTTTTGACTTGCACCACAACGGTTAACTGGATAGAACATAATACATTTTTTTTTCTATCACCAGAAATGATCAATGGATAGAACATAATACATTTTTTTTTTAAATCTTAAAAATTAGGAGTTGCACCAGAAATATCAGTTGGATAAAAAAGGATTACATGTAAAATCTTTAAAATCAAGTCTTGCACCAAAAACAATAACTGGCTAGAACAGAACACATTTGTTAAAATCTTGAGAATTAAGACAAGCACCAGAAATGCTAACAGAATACATTTGTTAAAATCTTAAAAATCAAGACTTCAGTTAAAAAGCCTTAGAAGTAACTTCGAGTATATTAACACTTTCAGTGGCAGGCAGATGTTGCTTTAACTCTTCCTAACCTAATCATTTGTTATGTTATATAAAGTTTGATTTGAAAGGATTCAAATAATGACACTTTAGGACAAAATGAGTTCAGGTAAAACTTAGGATATAACTGTTTAATGTAATGGCTGGATGAATGAAAAGGTTTCAAGGAAAATGCATACACTTTCAATTAATGGACAGCACTTGAGAGCATGGTGTTTCTTTTCCTTCTTTGTGCCCAGGTTTTTGCCCAAATGATCTGATTACCTATACTGATGGTTTGGTGTTGAGAGGAAAGAGAAGTGCCTGGGGTTTCATAGCAAAAGCCAATAGAAAATCTTTAGTGCAAAACAGCCCAGCATACGACATCACAGCATGAGAATAGAGGTGAAGGCGGTAACTGCATCTCTCCGATGGCTAGAGAACAAAATGCCTACATACGTCATAATTGTAACAGACTCTGAAAGGATGCTGAGAAAGGTGAAGACAGGGATGCTTTGAGCCGAGTTGCAAGCTTTCCTGGGAAGATCACGGTTAGTGAGCATACTTTGGATCTTTTCTCCAGGCCATGCCGACATAGTGGGTAATGAACAAGCAAACAGATTGGCTTGATCTGCACCACTGGGTGGTGAATTGATACATGACAAGGCAGATGTGGTCAAGGCCCTTTGGGAACAAGCAACGGAATCAGTAGAGAAAAAAGATTATTACAGCCTGGAGAGAATGAGGCCCCTGGGTGTAACCAGAGGATCTGGCCGGCTGACTACACTCAAAGGAAAAACAAGATGCACATTTAACCAGATTGTGACCGGTACCATCAGTATTGGAACTCTGCGCTGGCTGCTGAAGATGAGGATGGAGCATACATGGGAATGCCCCAAGTGCTGTGATGTCAGTTCTTGACTCAACTCATACCATGACAAAAGACTCAAGAACCATCTCACACTGTCCTCCTATATTTTTTTTTGTGTTTTGTTTTGTTTTTGGCACAAATTTTTCCTGTGGTCACAACACAACACGTTCCAGTTTCTCTTTTCTCATAACATGACTAAAAAATGATGACTATCTTTTTCTGATGTTTGTGATAAGTTGTATTCAAGCTCTCACCACTTTCAAAATATCTGGTTTGCTCTTTTAGGCTGTCCGTGGAATTCTAAGGATTCTTCTTCTAAAACCACATCTCCTAGGCATTAAGAAATTGTTTATTAATTGATTAGGATTCGCAACAATATGTTGAAACTGTCTCTATACAGTATGCAAGAATTCTTATTCTAACCTCCATTGACATGGATGTATTATATGTTGAGGTAATTACTGAAATACACCAAGCAATAAATTGTGCAATATCTTGTATATAGTTTCCCATCTTATTGACTTGCTCTGTTTATTCAGAATGTGTAATTCTGTACCTATGTGAACATTTCAGCTTAACTGTCAGCTTCCCCAAAGGAAAACTAGTTGCTATAGTTGGTCCAGTTGGAGCTGGCAAGTCATCCTTGTTGTCTGCATTTCTTGGAGAGATGGAGAAGTTGCAAGGCCAGGGAAGCATACAGGTGTGAAGCCAAATTTCTTTTGGAAAGATAAGCAGTTATTTTTTGTAAAACTTTTGTACCACATTGAACTAATACTGATGCTGGTTCATTGTATAGATGTTTTGGATCACTCATCTGTAACAATTGAAAATGGGTTTACTTTTATGTGTTTACTGTGTCCTATTTTTCAGTGGGTCTCCAGAAGTATCTTAGCAACAGAATAAACAAGTGGTAACAAAAGTAACACAACCTTATGGAGTCAGTAAATATATAAATACATGTATATTATGACATATGCATAATTTAATTCTCACTCCTTTTCACATATGCCTTTTGAGATTCCTGAATTGAAATAAGAAAAAAAAAGTCGGACATATTTAACCGGCCACAGAGACTTGGTTATATTTTAATCCTTCTTTTTCTGCAGCATTTAAAATTGTTATTTCCTTGCAGCATAAATTTATTAACTTGTTTGAGCATTTTTGTTTGTTTAAAACTTTTCTGTGACGAGTTTTCTTTCTTCTGTGGTAGAGTTGTGGAGTGCCTCCAGCTCTTTCAGCTGTTTTAACTTTCTGTGCCTTGCTGTTTTTGCGGATGGGTTCAGTTCACTGCACCTTATGCATAATTTTTTTCTTCTTGGCCTCTGTGCATTTGTCAGCCCTGCTGATTTTGCTGCTGCTTTGCTGGCTGCTTTTCTTTCATTTTGAAGGAGTCTCCTCTCTTCTTTTGCAGCTAATGTTGTTGCTTCTGCTTTCTGTTGAGCCAGTAGAGTGACTTCTCTGTATGTACTTCTTTAAGCTCTTCCATTTCTTTCCTTCTCTCCTCACATACTGCTTGCCTGCACCTCATCCTCTGTCATGGCCACTCAGAGATCTGACATCATTTCTGTCAAGGTTTCAATCTGTTCTATCTATAATTTACCCTGGGCTGTGTTTTCATTGTCTGCCTTGTTCCTCCTTGGTTCACTCTGGTTGGTCGGTCTGTCGCAGACAGCGGGTTTGGAAATGTTTATGCATTTCTGCATGTATGTGCAGCCAAGGTATCTAGCTCCATGTGGGCCTGAACAATTGGCACACTTTCTGCTCAGATTTGGTTTCTTGAAGTTTGGCCAGCAGACAGTAGCATAGCTACTGGTAGAGTCCTTATGTTGGACAGGTCAGCTTGAAGGAGTGAGATAAAGAGAGACATGTCCTACTGCCTCGCAGGTGAATTGGAAACTGTTAAAGTCTAGAGCAAACCCAAAGAAATCCTAGCCAAAATCATATTGAACTGAGCCACAATGCACTATATTGACACCATGGTGACTTGATTAGTACTGCCTCCTCACAGCTCTCTTGTATGCTCTAAATGGATGTTTCTAGAAAAACTATCATTGAAATCTTGAATTCCTACCTTTGCTGATGATGCTAGGAGCATTTTTAGAAAGGTCAGTAATAGGAATTCTAGATCTAGTTACTTCTTCATCACCATATTTTTTACTGGATTTGGATTATACTTATAAGAAAAAAACAGGTGCCAAATTAGTGAAATATGCTTATTGTTTTCAGGGTTCACTGGGATGTCCAATATTTAGATCTTCAACAACATGTTTTACCTGGTTTGATTATAAGATCATGAGCCTTATTACTTAATATGTTTATTGTATTCAGGGCTCGCTAGGATATGTGGCACAGCAAGCATGGATTCAGAACATGACCTTGAGATCCAACATCCTGTTTCATCAGCCAATGAAAGAGTCACGATACAGGAAAGTCATCGAAGCTTGTGCCTTGGAATCTGATATAGAACTTCTGCCGGGTGGTGAAATGACAGAAATAGGAGAAAAGGTTGGTTGTAAGTTGTTGAGCTTTCATTTGAAATCTTTAATATAGAAGTCAAGGGAGAAATAGAAGAAAGACAGGAAGGCAAGCATTACTGAATGATGGGTGGGAGGTTTAATTTTGATAAGAATGAAGGAAAAGAGTAAAAAATAGAGAGCTGCACATGATAGCAAAGGATAAAATGAACTGGATTGAATTGGCTGATGGCTTATATACTTCACTGGAGGATAAAGGGCAAAAGAAGAGGAAGAAACTCTGTCAGAATTTTTCACATTCAAACAAATATAAAGAAATATTAGGTATTTTAAAACAATGTTTTCCTATTGTAAGTTTAAATAATGAACAAATGGTCATCATCATCAAGTGATGTGCCAGCTGGCATAAGCATCGGTGCATCTCCACAGATCTCGGTCTTTGGTATCCTGGATCAATTTTACTGATAATATTCCTCCATGCCATTTTCCTAAGCCATCCACCATCATTTATCTTGGTCTGCCTCTGCTTCTACCAGTAATCTTTCCAGTCATCACAATAATTCCCAGTGCTCCTTTTCTCATCACATGGCCAAGGAACTTTGTTTGTCTCCTTCTCATTGTTGTATATAATGTTCTACTTTCATTAACCATTTCCAGGCAATCATTGTTAGTTATTCTGGCAGTCCAAGGTATTTGCAACATTCTTCTTAAGAACCACATTTCTGTTGCCACCAAACTCTTCCTTATTTGTTTGCTCACATTCCAAGATTCTCTCTCATACAACAGAACAGGCTCGCTGTAACATTTCAGTACTCGTTTACACAAATAATACATTGTACAATTTAATACCTTGCATATTTCACTGCATCTCTTCAGATGGGGAGATGTACAGCTTAACTTGACAATGACAGTTTGCTGTTGTGTTTCAGCAAAGTGATTCATTTTTGTGCTTCATTATATGTTGATTTAACTCTGTAGTTATACACTTGACGAGATACAGCAAAATGTGCCAGGCAAGCAATAAACTGTGTAATGTATTGTTTATGTCCATATTCTGAATGAATGAACAAGAACGGAGATCACTGCACATTCACACACGTGCTCTTTCCCCTTCTTTAGTAACCCACAAAGAGTTGACATGTATATGGTACCGATTTGCAGCCTGATTAAATGGCAGCCTCTGTTTCCCCTTTTATGTTAAATATCTTCCAGAACCTCTACTCATCACCCCTCCCCCTTCCCCTATTGAATTAGCCTTTTAGTGTATGGATTCCCTATCTATTCTTTTAAACTGTTCATTTGATCCCATAGAACCCTCACCACACCTGCTTTATCATACAGTAGCTCACCACCCAGAAAAGTGGCAGCAGCCAATCTATCAGCCTGCTTGTTACCTTGCACACTTAAATTTCCTGGACAGAAAATCCATGATTTGCTCTTGATATGGGTCTTATCAAGTAATGCAAGAAACTCTGCACGCAAGACACTAGTTTCAATTTTCTGAAGCATGCTCCATGAGTCTGTTAGAATCACAGCATGCTGGGCCATTCTGTTCTCAAGCCATCGTAAAGTTGCCACTACTGGTTCCACCTCCATTCTCATACTGAATGTAGTGGCATTGTATGTGATGCTCTCTGTTTTCAAGCAGTGTCCATTCACCTTTACAATAAAACAGCACCCACGCTTCTTACCTCTCACTACAGACCCATCTGTATATATTATGATGTCACCTGGGTGTGCATTTTCTTTCATCAGCTCTTGCACCGCTGACTCTGTTTCACCAGCTATCTATTCTTAGCACCCTTGGTCTATGGTAGCTTTCACTCTGTGCAAGTCTGTTTTGTTGAGTGGCACTGTAACCAATTTTTCACCATGCACATTCTTGTCAGTAGCACTAACAGTTCTGATCGCGACTTCTGTCTGAGCCATCCAAGAGCCACCTCTTTTCAGCCACTGTCCCTTGCTATCCCCTAAAGTTTCATGCAGCGGTATTAGCTGTCTATTGCAACTTAAAGGTACATTTTCATCTGTAAAATCTTGTATATCTCACACACGGATGGTAATGCAAGTATGTGCCACATGCACACAATTGGCGTGTCTCCTATACACCCCAAAATGATTCAAATCAGTTCCAGCTTCTCTTCTATAAGATAATGTCTGTATTATTTAAATATTAAATAGTTTTTTAGTATTAATTTTTTTAAACAATCGAAGATTAATTAGTCCTTTACAAGTCTGTAGCAGTCATTTAGTGCAGAGATATTCCGTTACTAGACATGTAAACCAGATGGGGGATGATGGTGTGATGTCAATATACAGAGGTTGTAATCATTGAGAATAAATTAGTTCACATTGCCAGATCAATGATACTTGAAAAGCTGAATGACCATTAGCATGAAAACTTCCCAAGGTTTGCTTTTTAGACCAAGGCTGGCAGATAATAAGTGAATCAGTATTTAGTCTGTAACGTCACAATCCATGACAAATGGTAGCCCAGTATTCAGGAAGTGAGGCTTGGCGACTGTGTACAGGCCATGACGCTTCTCTGGGTTAGCTGTGTAACCAGAGAACTGTGTCTTGGTTCTGCATTAATGGATGACATAAACAAGGGGTGGCTGCAGTCAAGCTGATGACTACAAGTGCTAAATAACAGAAAATGTTAATATAGTAAGCTCAACGGAGGGATTGGAAAAGACACGCAAAAATACAACTGAACATTTTTACCAGAGTCTTTATCAGCAGAGTACTAAATATTACACAGACTTTAACTGAAAAACTCAGCAGACACAACAGAGCTTCTATAAAACTAAGAAGAAAAGAAGAAAAACGTAACAGAGGGAAAATATGGATATGATATTATGAAATTAATTGCATTAATGGATGCTCCATGGCTGCTGGGAAATGTTAACTTCCCGTAAGGTTCCATCAGCAACTGTTCAGTCAGTCAATCAGACTGGTGCCGTCTCCACAGTGAAGGTTGGCCGCAGTATATCTCCAAAAAACTCTGTCTCTTGTCCTGATTGTACACTCTCTCAAACTGCTGCCCATCCATCTCCTGAAGTTATCATCCCACTTGTTCAACTGTTCAAGACTGGTTTATTGCAACATGTCACTTGTAGATAGAACAGGCTCAGGTGGAATCACAAAATTAAGTCATTTCTCTACAGAACTACCCAGGAAGGCTAATTCGGACAACAAATCCTGGAAATGGAGTCAGATGTGATTGACAACAAATCCTGGAAATGGAGTCAGATGTGATTGACAACAAATCCTGGAAATGGAGTCAGATGTGATTGACAACAAATCCTGGAAATGGAATCAGATGTGATTGACAAAACATTAAAAGTAGAAAGTAAAGGATCCTTTTTCACGCCCTCGGGCTTATTGGGTATATAGGGCTACATCAATATTTTATAGATCCATTGGAACTCAGTGGCTGATGTGGTCAGCATTAATACAGCCACCTTTACTTCCCTGGACTTTACATGGTAACCATTTAAGGCTGGGTTAACCTGGAAATCAAGGTCATTTTTGAAGAAAAAAAATCCCTTCTTTGTCACGACCTTAACCCGTGACCTTCTAATCTGCAGGTGAGTCTCTTGCGGCTTCACCATGGCAGTTCCCTTGACAAATAAGCATAATGAAAATATTGAATGGATCACAGAGAATCTTATGTTGGTACTTGTGTTTGATTTGTAGGGTATCAACCTGTCAGGAGGTCAGAAACAGCGCATTAGCCTGGCTCGGGCTGTTTACCAGGATGCTGATGTCTACCTGCTGGATGATCCTCTCAGTGCTGTTGATGCTCATGTTGGCAAACACATCTTTGAGAAGGTCATTGGTCCAAAGGGAATGATTAGAAATAAGGTATCTACTTTTCATTGTTTTTTTTTAAATTTTTATTGCAAGAAGCTATCATTTCATTATACTTTTTTTCACAGTTTTCATTGCTAAAGTATCTGCTCATTTTCTTTTGTCATTTTTTTTTATTTTCCTTGCTGTAATGCAAAAAAAATTTAAAAACTTGCACTATCATAATTAGGTAATGTCAGTGTTGCTATTAATTATCAGAATTTGAAAATTGTATCTATCTTTTTAATTTTTCTGGTAATTTCTAATGTTTTTTAAACATTTATATTTTCCTTATATACAGTGGATATTATTCACATAGTAAACTCTTGCTACTGGCCACCATATGCCCAGTTTATCGAAATGGGACCTCTACTTTTATTACACCAGTATTCGTTCTAGATGTGATTTTCATGATTTATTTAGCCATTTTGTCTATAATTTTCTTTGGTTTTAAAGATTTAACATATTCTAGACAGTTTTTTATAAACTATTGACAATAAGTTACTGATGGCATTAATGTAGCTTAAATTCTCAAGACAACTTGTTTAACCCTTGTGGTCCACAAATGATTAAAAATGGGTCATAAACCTATGGAATTTCCAGAAAAATCCTTTAAAGAAAACAACCATTTTACGCAACCAACTGTTCAGAAAGCAGTGGAAAACTACTGAATGTAAACTTACTTAGTGAAATCACAAACAAATGTTGGGATTGGTTATGCATTTCATCATGCTTTTTGATTTTATTTGTACTTTATAACTATTCTATATGTTCCTTGTTTGCTATGGACTGTTGCTTCTATTTTGTGGATACCTATTCTTATGTTGGTGTTGACTTGTGTATTGTAGACAAGAATTCTGGTTACCCATGGCATTCACTGGCTCCCTCTGGTGGACCAGATCGTAGTCATGGACCAAGGTCAGATAACTGAGCTAGGAACTTATGAACAGCTGATGAATCACAATGGACCCTTTGCCCAGTTTGTGAGAACATATCTCCTGGAGCATGAGGATGAGGAGATAGATGATCCTGATGGTAAGTTTCAGTGTGAGTTTCATGTGATCACCTCAGTGTAAGTTTCATGTGACCACCTCAGTGTAAGTTTGATGTGACCACCTCAGTGTAAGTTTCATGTGACCACCTCAGTGTAAGTTTCATGTGACCACCTCAGTGTAAGTTTCATGTGACAACCTCAGTGTGAGTTTCATGTGACCACCTCAGTGTAAGTTTCATGTGATCACCTCAGTGTAAGTTTCATGTGACAACTTCAGTGTAAGTTTCATGTGACTACCTCAGTGTAAGTTTCATGTGACCACCTCAGTGTAAGTTTCATGTGACCATCTCAGTGTAAGTTTCATGTGACTACCTCAGTGTAAGTTTCATGTGAACACCTCAGTATAAGTTTCATGTGAACACCTCAGTGTAAGTTTCATGTGAACACCTCAGTGTAAGTTTCACTGGAACACCTCAGTGTAAGTTTCATGTGACAACCTCAGTGTAAGTTTCATGTGACAACCTCAGTGTAAGTTTCATGTGACTACCTCAGTGTAAGTTTCATGTGACCACCTCAGTGTAAGTGTCATATGACAACCTCAGTGTAAGTTTCATGTGAACACCTCAGTGTAAGTTTCATGTGAACACCTCAGTGTAAGTTTCACTGGAACACCTCAGTATAAGTTTCATGTGATAATCTCAGTGTAAGTTTCTTGTGACCACCTCAGTGTAAGTTTCATGTGACCACCTCAGTGTAAGTTTCATGTGAACACCTCAGTGAGTTTCATGTGACCACCTCATTGTAAGTTTCATGTGATCACCTCAGTGTAAGTTTCATGTGACCACCTCATTGTAAGTTTCATGTGATCACCTCAGTGTAAGTTTCATGTTACCACCTCATTGTAAGTTTCATGTGATCACCTCAGTGTAAGTTTCATGTGAACACCTCAGTGTAAGTTTCATGTGAACACCTCAGTGTAAGTTTCACTGGAACACCTCAGTATAAGTTTCATGTGATAATCTCAGTGTAAGTTTCTTGTGACCACCTCAGTGTAAGTTTCATGTGACCACCTCAGTGTAAGTTTCATGTGAACACCTCAGTGAGTTTCATGTGACCACCTCATTGTAAGTTTCATGTGATCACCTCAGTGTAAGTTTCATGTGACCACCTCATTGTAAGTTTCATGTGATCACCTCAGTGTAAGTTTCATGTTACCACCTCATTGTAAGTTTCATGTGATCACCTCAGTATAAGTTTCATGTGACTACCTCATTGTAAGTTTCATGTGACCATCTCAGTGTAAGTTTCATGTTACCACCTCAGTGTGAGTTTCATGTGACCACCTCATTGTAAGTTTCATGTGACCATCTCAGTGTAAGTTTCATGTTACCACCTCAGTGTAAGTTTCATGTGACTACCTCAGTGTAAGTTTCATGTGACTACCTCAGTGTAAGTTTCATGTGACTACCTCAGTGTAAGTTTCATGTGACTACCTCAGTGTAAGTTTCATGTGACTACATCAGTGTAAGTTTCATGTGACTATCTCAGTGTAAGTTTCATGTGACTACCTCAGTGTAAGTTTCATGTGACTACCTCAGTAAGTTTATATGACCATCTCAGTGCAAGTTTAGGTGACCACCTCAGTGTAAGTTTCATGTGAAAACCTCAGTGTAAGTTTCATGTTTCATGAATATGATAGCTGTTACTTGTTGTGCAAAGGATGATGCGCTTTAAAAAAGTGCAAATGAATTTAATGTTGTTATTCCACTTTGCTGAAAACTTTAGCACATTTATATTTTATTTACCGTGTGCCAAGACTTCAGGCACACCCTATATATAGTCTATACATTTCCATAAGTGGTGGTATTCTTTGTGCTGACCAGTATGGTTCTGGAATTTAATGATGGCTGTCAGAGGTACCTCAAACACCACTTAACAGTCTCAATACCTGTTGCAAGAAATACTGGAAAACCCCCCCAAGAAATAATGACCAATTCAACCTATCACCATTGTTGAAGGAGAGACTTAAAACAAGCTAAGGAATTTGAGTAACTAGGCTGTGTATTCACTGAAGATGGAGATTAGACAGAGAAATAGAAAACAGAATGTAGAAGTTTAACAACATAAAGTACTAAATAGTCTTACTTTTGAGACATTAAAATATCAACGTGCATACAGAAATGCAGCTGATAAATGCACTATTTGTACCAACTTTGTGCTATCAGTGTCAGGCATGGACAGTCCTTGAAAAACATAAACATGAAATTACAGCATGTGAGAGGAGACGTATAAGAAATGTGGCAGGAAAAACAAGAAGAGACAGTGTCACCAATGAAGAACTAAGAACAGTGGTAGGCACAGTACCGGTAAATGTGATCATAGAACATAAAAAGAAACAAAAGGATTTGGTTATCTGGTCATAATCGAGCAAAATCAGCCAAATGTTAGAGGGTACTATATGAGAACAGCATGCTACTAGGCAAGAGGCTGACCAAGAAAGAGGTGGGTGGATGGAGTAAAAGAGACTCTACAAAAATGTAATATGACATCAAAGCAAGCTACACAACTAGCAAAAGACAGGAAACTACATCTAACTCCTCTGTGTCGCCCTTCACAGATTACTGTGTCACATCTTATGTTCTGTTCAGTCACTGAAAATATGAGACAAACACTATATCTGCATTTTACCTTCTTAGCATGATTCTTTATCTCACTCACTGGTTTCAGTGCAAATGTTGAAAGAGCAAGTATTGGAACGGGTGACCTCTGTTGCATCAGATGATGAATATCAACAGCTTAGGCTACGAAGGTTGGTGTTTGTTTATGGGGTTTTATTTAAGCACTAAGGACTCTCCATACACTTCCTAAAGTCTGCATGGCTGCTCCAGGAAAATAAATGAAAAACTTAATAAAGTTAAAGACTAAGAAACAAAGAAACTAGAAATTACACCGTAAACAGACATTTGCATTTGTTGCCACTAGCTCTAGAATTAGACAATGCAGACAGACAGTACTATTGATTCATATCAAGTGCCAAATGTTGTATTCCCTTTTTTTACTAATATAGCTTGCCCAAGTTTTCCCTCCCCTGGCGGATTGATGTATCTACTGTACCCTGGATAATGCAACGTGGCGGTCATAACTTCTTGCACCATTAGGATGTAAAATCTTAACTCTTTGAGTCCCAGGGGGTTTAGCATCACAGGCCCAAGGGGTAGTCAAGAAAGACGTAAAATCGGTGCATCTTGCGTTCATTGGGCTTCTAGGAAGGAGTCTATGAACGTATGATGCATTCCTTGGGACTCAAAGAGTTAAATCGATTTTTCTTAAAGAGGTCCTCTCTGCAATACATGAAAGTAGAAACATAGAGGTAGGGGATGACCAAAAAGAAGATGGACTGAAGAAGTGGCTGATACCTTGAGCTCCACAACATCACAGTATGCCAGGCAACTGAGCACATCCTTATTTGGAAACCCATCATCTGTTAACCCTGCGACACCCAGCGACACAGAGCAGAAAATGGACAAACAATAGAAAGAATTTTCTAGAAGTATAGGCAGCTGGCACGATTGTGACTACTTGACCTAATGAGTGCTGACTGGCTATAAAAATGTGGTACTGTCATCATTTACTTAATAGACTTAAAGGCATTGGAGCAGAGTTGTTTGCCTTTTTGTCTTAACCAGAGGTTATCACCAGAACACATTTGCAGTGGAATTAAGTGTACCAAGTGGTACCAGCTCACTCATGGAATAGTTATGTTTGCATATGACCGCCCAGCCTCACTTGTATTTATTGAGCCTTCCTGCAATTGTGTGTTGCACCTTTAGAGATCAGCAGGACAAATCCATAGATCTGGGACTTGAATGACCTGCACACAATGAGCAGTTCTAGGCCTGAACAAGTGAGATCTTCCTCCTTTTAACAGTTTTCCCTGTTGTGACCACCTAGATGCTGTTTGTCATTCTGATATCTCAGAGCAGTCAATATGGCATAGTAGGGACAGGCAGAATCATTCTGTTGTTGTACTTTTAGAAACACACTTGAGGCAGGGTTTACCTCCATGTTCCTGATACTCTGTCCAGTAAAAAGGCAAGTGATGAACAACTGACCTGGGATTGTCATTTAGTAGGAATCATTCTCAAATGACTGTAGTACCCATTTAGTAAATTAGTAAAATACTCTGTCGACGGACATTGTTTATCCATGATTTGGGGGTGCATTTATGTCTGCCTGGAGGATTTTCCACCTTGTGATTTCTGTTCCCAGCATCTATAGTTGCTGGGAAGTTACCCTTGATAATTTTGATTGAAGCCTATGATGTTCATTTATCCGTGGTTTACCAGGACGTGTAGCAGGAGTCTTGCAAGAGCTTCTCTATAACCAACATAAGACTTGCTGGTGCAGGGTTTCGAGGTATGGCTTTCAGATACAGCACAATGACCATAATTTCCCCCATGCTTGTGACCGAAATCACCACACCAAGACTGGTGTCACAAACTAGTTACAACAGGAGCTTAGTAGCCTCATTCTGCTCAAGAGTTGTAATTTTGAAACAAGTGCTGTGACTTTAAGCAAAGGTGGAAATGCACAAAATTTGAGTTCAAAATAAATTTGTTTCCAGGAGCTGTTTCCTATACAGAAGTCTTAACATTGATTACATAAATGAGATCCAGATAAGTCAACATTTTGTAAAGCAATTTTATAATGAGAAATACAACTTTAAAACAACTGCCAAATTTCATAGGAAAAAAATGGGGGAGGGGGAAGAACGGACAAATAAAAGTCAAAGAATTTAATATCTGGCTGGCTTGGTCAAACAGAATGCTGAATTTTTTAAAAATTATTAGCTTTCTGTAAAACTTGCATGTTTTATGCATGTTGCTGTTGTCTTTGAAAAAAAACTCTACTAAATCAATGGCTATTGTTGTTATATGTGTCTTTAACACTTGCATGAGATTTTCAGTATATTTTCTTATTAACTGCATCTCAGATCCTTGTCTGATCAACATGGAGGACACCGAAAGTCAGATAAAGCTGTGCTAGTCAGTCAGAACTCAGCAGTATCTTCAGTGTCGGCACAAGATTTGGATGTAATCAAATCTCAGTCAGATAATGTGGATGGCAAAAATCACCGGCGATGCTGAACTTCATGGAATGAATCCATTACCTTCAAAACCTGATGCAGACAGCTTGACCCCCTAAAATTATGTTTTACTTGTGAATAGCAAATCTTACAACCTGACAGTATATAACTGCATGCCATCTGCATTGGTTTAAAGATTTGTAGTCTTGCCTTTGCAGAATGTCCCAGGTTGACCCAACCTTAAATAGGTAACAGGTAAAGTCCTGGGAAGTAGAGGCGGCTGGCTTTATGTTGACCATATCACCCACCAATTGGTCTCTAAAATATAGTTCCAGCCCTATATTCCCAACCCAATACAGCTGAAGGCCTGGAAAAGGGTCCTTTACTTTGCTTGCCTCTCAAAATGAGCCCAGCTCTCTAGCGTAGTTGGCTAAACCGGATTGCGCGGAGACCGGGTGACGAACTCCTTGTGGTCCAGATTCAACCCCAGGGGTAGGCAGGAAAGCCACATTTTCTCCCAGATTTACAGTATTTACAATGGAATCAAGGCCGAAAGGTTGCGATATCCATAATACCGAGCCTCAGGGTTAACAGCTCATGGCTTCTAGATACTAAAACAAACCTCTCAAAGTGACTAACAGAATGACTCATTCTCTCTATACAACTTGACACATTACATGGTTGTTTATAAAGACACAAGAGCAGTGGTTCTCAACTGGTGGTCCCAGACCCTTAGGGGTTCCCAGAATAAATTTAGGAGGACCATGATGCCATTTTGAAAAGAGAAAACCTCACCCACTTTTTAAAAAAATGATTTAAATATAAATTTACTCTTTGTGAATGTTTAAAACAAAAAAATTAACACTGCAAAAGTAAGGGGTTCGTGGCAGACATTTGAAAATAAGAGGGGATTTAGGGATCTTATCTGATTTGGACTCACTGCGCAAGGCATACATCAGAAGAGGAGAAGGACAGGATAGACCAAGAACAAGATGAAAAATAACAATGAAAAATAACACAGAGAAATCAACAGCACGATTTGTCTATGGTCGGAGCAACCAGAAGAGCAAGATGCAGAACCTTCTATCTCCCTCGACACCCTAAGTGATAAAAGAGTAAGTGAAGAACATGTCAGGTGACATATAAAACAACATACAGTCACATTCACATAACAGTCATATTAAAAGTACGAGTGCACATTGAAAATATCCTTTACAAAACACCGAAACAATTACTGGCTTTATATAATGATATGAGTACATTTCTTTATCATCAGGTGAGGACTGCAGTTTTTGTAGCATTCATTCGAGCTTTTGGATACTTTTTGGCAATCATGGTTCCATTGTCTGTGTTCATGTACAATGGTTTCAATGTGGCTTCAGGCATCTGGCTTTCTGAATGGACTGATGATCCATTCCTGAAAAATGAGAACAATTCAGGAACGGACTCATACACTTCCAAAACATATATGTACCTTGGAGTCTATACAGCTCTGTCACTGTTGCAAGGTCTGTATTGAAAAGTTACTTCTTTTAAACAATGTTGATAGTTTTGTCCACTTTATTTATCTCATACAGTATTTGTATTTTCAGTGAGCTTTTTATAATTCAATTTTATATTGATTCTGTGCTTATTTGCTTGCCATATCCTGACACTTCAGAAATAAATAATATAAAAGTAAAAGTCTGAAACTTGGAGCACAACTAAAAGAGATGAAGCCTTATTACAGGTTTTCAAAAACAGTCTTACGACAAATCTTTAGATCCATCAAAGATGCAAACAGGGGGGGGGGGAGGGGGGGGGGGGGGGGAATGAAGAGTGAGAAGCAACAACAAAATTCATCGCAATTGCGAATCAAAGGAAATGTCCTTTACAGTGGCATTTGAAAAACTGGTGAACAAACTATAAGTCTCGAAACAATTCAGAAATATGTGCACTCAGTAAATGCACGTTTCAGTTGCTAGAGGCACCAAAGCCAACAATCCTCACCAGAAATGCAGCTTGTCTTTGATGGAAGTAGACAGGCAAGATAAATTGCTTACTGAACACACGTAGAATTTGGTATGATGCAGCTAGTAAACAAACGAATGAACAAACTTTATTTGGAATGTTTATTCCATATAGGAAGGTTGACGAAGCAAGTGATAGTGATGCAGAAACTACACAAGAAGAGGCTGTCAGGCATCTGATAATGCGGTAGAAGCCATTTGCTATAGGAAAAATGCCCAGGTGTTCTGAGTGGTCTAGCCAGCATTAAGACTGCTTTCTCCACATACGTTTGTAATAAGAAAAAGACACCGAGACCATAACTGATTTTTTTGGTTTTAAAAAAAAAGAATGATTAAACAATGATAAAACAGAAGTTGATGAGTTAATTTCATGTTGTGGTTGTGAGTGATTTCATCTGATACTATATTCCCCAGTACAAGTTATTCAGGTATCATCAGTACAGTCAGCCTCCTCCATAAGACTACCCCCATAAGTTAATTTGTTTGTCACAGTCCCATGGGAGGCCATCTTATAGAGGTTCTACTGTATTTCAGTATTCCAAAGTAAACTGAATAATCTGTTTGTTTTTATTTTCAGTGGTGGGCAACTGTATATTTGTCTTACTGGTGTACGTGCAGTTTGTCAATGCTTCTCAGCGTCTGCATAACAGCATGTTGGATACTATATTGCATCAGCCAATGTCTTTCTTTGATACAACACCACTAGGCAGAATTCTCAACAGGTGAGAAATTTCATTACCAGTAAATACAATAGGAGCTAGCGTGGTGTAGCGGCTAGATGCTCACCTGCACATCTGAAGGTCCCGGGTTCAAATCCGCATAGAGCCAGATTTTTGTTTACATGAACTTGGTTCTCAGATCAACCCAGCTTTTAATTGGGTACCAGGTAAAGTCCTGTGAAGTGAAAGCAGCTAACATGATGTTGAACACATCACCAGTCGAGGGCCGATTGGTCTGCATAAATATGAATCTAGCTTCATCATATGCTCAACACGCCACTGACATGTGCAGGAACTTTACTTTATCAGTAAATATTAAAATAATAAAAATACTTTAATAATATTATGAACAAAGAAGACACACTTTATAGCCAGGCATATTTCACTGTATCTCGTCAGGTGCATACTGCAGTAACAATTGATTGAAATGAAGAAAATAAGTGAATCCTCTGAACTGAAACACAAAACAGACTATATTCAAAAACTATGTTTTATGAGGGTTAACGTAAGATGAAGAACATGCTCTGTAGCACTGGTGAGGATCCTAAAATTCTTTGGGTAGATTTTTAACTCCAAATTTTGCCCAGGAAGCGCTGTTAGGCTACTCTTTTTTTATTTCCAACTGCCAAAGGCTTTTTTTGCGTGCGCAACAATGCACATGGGCGTCCAATCTCTCTACCCAGAGACCAGGAAAATTACTGGAAGTCAAAGTCCACGTGAAAAAATCCCAGTTCTTACCGGGAATTGAACCTGGAACTTCTAGCACTCGAGGCGGACACCATGCCTTAAGACCACGCAGAGTCTCTTGCAAAGGATAGGATACCCAACGTTTTCATTCTATGAAGAAAATGACTTTATGTCAAAATGTTATTGAATCTTTGATAATCATTTTATTTGTTTGTTTTGTCCTCAGATTTTCTCGGGATGTCGATGTCTTAGACGTGGGTATGTCCCGGCAGGTGCGACTGTGTTTACAGACTCTCTCCAACCTCATCTCTATAATAGTGGTGATTTCATATACCACTCCCATCTTCCTCGCAGTAGTAGTTCCGATCCTGATTGTCTACGTTTTCTTTCAGGTGAGTTGACTGATATTTCCAAACACAAAAATCTTAGACAAAGCAGATCCCAAATACCCTGATCAATCCCTAAAGAAGTTGTAATTGAGGCACACCTAACGGCTACACCAGCCTGGTATAACCTTCAGTTCAGTGCAAGTAAGGGCCAGGCTGTGCCACTTCTTATTTTGCTTCACCCTTCAATTGGTGGTTGGCACATTCTGTTATGGTTTACAGCTAGGCTGTGATTTTTGGCCCAACATAAAACCCTTTGTTAGACACCTTCAGGACATGCTTGTTAATAAGGTGTCTAGTCTCCCCTTCCCGCTCAAATTTATTTTTAAAAAGGCCAAAAGAGGGATTTGAACCTGGAATCAATGGGTTAATATAATCTGGCTAGGTTTATATAATACAGGCGCTGTGATGAGAACCTCTTATATGATTTAGGGGCTGTAAGATTTTGTTAGGACTCTATCAGACATGTTGAGCATAAAGGGCTAGACCTATATTTTATGGAGCATTTAGCACTTGGTGGGTGATGTGGTCAGTATCATGCCTGACCTTTGGATTACTGCTAGGTTTATCTGTATGCAGTTAGGGCAGTTTGATTGCAAAGGCTGTACTTTAGGAACATTGGATGGTAGTCGAAGAAGAGGACTTCAAAGAAGAACCTGCATTGACAACATCAAGAAATTGACAGGACTAAGTTATCACTTATTCATCAGGCGGAAGACAGAGAAAGATGGCGGGTTTTGTGTTCTAGCGCTTCCATTGATAAACCTACATGACCCTAACGGGTGAAGGGTTCTATTATGTTATGTTAAGGCTGTTCCTTAAAAACAAACTTATTAATCATTCTAAGTGTGCATCAGAATCTTTACTATTGATAGTGTAAGTAAAATTCTTATTACTTAAACTTTATTACCTAATTTTTGTATGTATTTTACACTAATGACGCTAACTCCATGCATAAATTCCCTAACACTGTCCATGTGACAACATTATCCTAAGATTGATCACCAGTGGCACTTCACAGAAGTCACCTGTGTGCTAAATCCTTATTTTTAGAAAATCCCATTTGATCATTGAAATCAAATGAAAATGGTGTAGTTGCATAAAAAACATTTTTTTTTTTACCTAAATGGAGTAGGAATTTGCACACGTTACTATGACGTAATGTAAAGAAGTGACAAAGAAAAGTCCTGAAAAGTCATTTTGGTGAAAAATCACCAACTTATTTTACTTTGGCATAGTGCCAGTGATATAAATGTATTCTCTAACCTTGACCACAGGACAGTATGATCTAGCACTGCCCACTTTTTGCATAAGGAGGTATGTCAGAATAGTGGCTAGCATGCCTGCTGTTAATTTCACACTTTCTTCCTTTTTTTCCCCTTTCTTCACATTCATAAACCAGCAGAAACGTTTGGTTATTTGTTCACTCTAGTTGTTCCTTGCCTCTCAGACAAATACACCAAGTTCAGAGTAAACTCCCCTAATGAGTAGATATTTACGATGTGCATGTTAGGGGACTGTGGGTCTATTCCCCTCACCCGCACAAGGCCTCCAGAACCAACACCGCAATATCTCACACTGGTCACATTTATTTGGTTTCAGAAATTCTACATCCCATCGTCACGTCAGATTCGTCGTCTTGAATCTACAACCAGATCCCCAGTTTTCTCTCACTTTGGAGAGACCATTAGTGGGGCCAGTAGTATCAGAGCCTATCGTCTGGAAGAGAAGTTCTTTAATGATTCTCTGCTTCTCGTTGACATCAACAACCAGTGCTTCTTTGCATCGCTGTCAACAGGACGGTCAGTTTTTTCTTGTTTTTTTCAGCGTACATCTGTAGTTGTTAATTTCATCAATGTGAATTTTAGTTGTTACAAGACAATCTCAGTCAGTACAGAGAAACATCCCATACAAAATATATTCCTTTCTATCCTATGCTACCAGTGCCAGACATGGTTACTCATAACAAGCCAGAAAAAAAAAATTAATGGCCGTGGAAATGAAATGCCTGAGGAGGGCTACAGGAGCGACCAGAAAATATGAAATCATGAATGAGGTTTGTGGAAACAGTTGTATTATAAGTCCATGAGGGTTATTGCTGGAGCTACAAGGTTGATGACTTTCTTATATGTTCTCAGTGGGGGAACAGCTACTTTGCAGAGAGAGACTGATACATATGTGAGAAAAGCTAGTGCAGTGAAATCAGTCCTCTCAGTTTGAAACACGTTTTTGATAATTGCTTCATACTAAGTCACAGCCACTACGCATGAAAAAAACCAAATGTGAAAGCAAGAGGTCATCCTAGGAGAAGATGGATTGACTGTATTAAATACTTTATACATCAACAGGAAATGACAGTAGACATTGCTACCAGTCAAGCAAAGGATCCCAAACTGTTTTTGACCATGACGATTTAACGACAAAAGTGGAAATTGATCATGATAATGATGACTACTGAAACAGCTGTCCACCTTTTTTTTTTATTTAGAAGTTACATTACAGTAAATTGTTTCTTCATCATTAATTTTTAACAGGGCAGTTGGCACACTGCATTGTGGTTTACAGCAAGACTGCAACATCTTGCGCCTTTGGACCAATACAGCCAATTTCAGCAAAACTCTATATGGAGGGAAAGAACAGCCTGTGAAAATATGTAAATTCCACTACACGGCATTGGGCCAAAGGGCAAAAGCTCATGCCTGGCTGGACCAATAAAAACACTAACAACAACAACAACAACCACAATCCCTTAATTAATCACCCTTTCTGACAGGAAAAGGGGGGGGGGGTGTAGTGGATCTGCCCCCCCCCCCCCCCCCATCCCTCAAACCCCTTTCCAGAATCCAGATTGGGAAATTGCAGTGAACTTGATGTTTGTATCAGAATTGTTTCCGATACCCGTTATATCAGAAAATGAAAAGTCAATCCCATGCAGACTGCCATTTAAGTGTGAGGTGTTAGGCATTGACACATTTTGAGGTTGAACTAAAAAGTTCCTTTCCTTATTGCTAGCTCCTCCCAGACATGTCTAAAAAATATTCTAGAACTCATGTTGTAAGAATAGGATGCCATAACTATAAATGTTTAAAAAATGTCATTGCTGAGGATTGAACCCATACCATTGTCTAAATAAAGCTGGTGTACTGATTATTATCCGCCCCAGCTCCCACAATTAGAGCATGTCTTTCATCATCATCATCATGTAGCAGGTCCTTTGCAGAACCTCACAATCATCACAGCCTGCCTGAAAGAAACTCAGTCTTTCACCAGATCTCCTACCTTGTGCACTTTCCTGTGCCAGTTTGTGTGCCGGTAAATCCCTACCCTTCTTTCCTGGCAACATGCTTTCTTCTACAGTTCTTTCCAGTCCACCATGGCACTTGATATGGCCAAAATATTTCTGTTTCTGAGACAAGCTGCTATTGAATAGAGCATGTTTTTATTGTGTTTAAAAGTGAATAACATTTATCTGCAGAATGTCAAATCTGACAATAAAATTGTTGTAAGACCTGACACTGGTCACATTGTCTGACAATGTGTACCATTTTGTGTGTGTGTCACTTTTATAGAATTTGCTGACAAGCCAAGAAACATCTAGAGGGAATGGAAATGTGATTTCCAAGGACTCCGCATAGAATACAATAGATGGACAGATAAACATATGATAAAGTCCTTTGAGAAAGATGAAAAACCACAGAAACTTATGAAAAATAATGATTTTTTTTAAAGGCTTATTATGAGAAGTGGCTCAAAAACTTAGTTTCAACAGGCAAACTTGATGTGAGAAAAGGCAAAAGGAAGAGAAAGAAGGTAATATTTGATGGCTTCACCAAATGTGGTGTCAGGACAAGAACCTTAGACAAATAATAATATCTGGCACTAGCCAAAAAAATGTGTCTTCTAACAGGCAGATCGAGTGGCTGGTTCAGCACCACTTGGTAGTAAATTGATGTGTGTCAAACTAGATGTTGTAGGGCGCTTTTGGAGCAAGTGAACAGTGCAGAGGCACAAACAGACAATCATGGTCTGAGGAGAATTGTACAGCCAGAAGTGACCAGGGATCTGGCTGTCTCTGAACACTCCGGGAAGGGGCGAGACGGTCATACAGTCAGACTGTTACTGGTACCATCCGAACTGAAACTCTGCGCTTGCTGCTGAAGATGGGGAAAAAGCACTTGTAGGAATATCCCAAGTGCTGTGATGTCAGTTTTTAACTCATGACTCATATGTTTTCTGACATGGACCACATCAGTGTGTAGTCTCTGACATTGACAACAGGTTGAACTCTTTGAGTCCCAAGGAACGCATCATACGTTCATAGGTTCCTCCCCAGAAGCCCAATGAATGCATGATGCGCCGATTTTATGACTCTCTTGACTACCCCCTGGGCCTGTGATGCAAAACCCTCTGGGACTCAAAGAGTTAATACAGTGCTCTTATTATTTCAGCTGGCTGAGGGTCAGGCTTGAGGCTCTGGGCAACTTGATCGTTTTGTTTGCTGGCCTGTTTGCTGTTATCAGCAATGGCATCTCTGGAAGTTTAGTTGGTCTTTCTGTGTCATATGCATTACAAGTAAGCCTTTTCTAAGTTTTTTTATCAGTAAAATTGGTGATTCTTTAGCCTTTTTCTGCCTTTTATCCTCACTGAAACCTAGACTTGGCTTTTGTGGGTGAAGTTCTTCATGAATGAGGTTTTCAGTTCCAAGGCCAATCTTATCCTTAACTTTAGTTGTCTGATAATTTTTTTTGCTCACTTTAAGGGTTGCCGGTAACACGTTGGTGAACATTAGTGATTATCCTCTTCTTCTTCACATTCACCGGCTGTGAACTCCAGCAGAAATTTCTGGTTTTTTGTATTCTTCTGGACTCTAGTTCTGTTCCAGAAACTGAGGTTTGTGTGCACATCTGTTTTATAGGTCTAACTCATTTGTATGCAGACCGTTGGTTCCTTGCCTCTCAGACAAAGGTACTCAGACTTTGAAGAAAGCGTCCAATTAGTTGACTCCTATGACATGCTTTTGGGCAGGCATTGGGTCTGTTCTTGTTTTCCCCCACAATGGGGCTACAGAATCCACACGGGGAATTTGGTGATTATGATGGGTCAGCTACAATTAATTCTTCTTCTTCTTTTTTCCTTGCGGCATAAGGGCAGGAAGAGAGAGAACTCTGGAGCGGGTCCTTCTGTTCTGTATAAAGTACTTTTCAGTAATTTTCTCAATTAATTGGGACCATAGTATTTAGTTTTCCCAGTGTGAGTTTTAGGGCCTCAGTTTGGGGACAACACGAATAGACCCACCGTCCCCAAAGAAGCATGCTGTAGGAGGCAACTTATTAGGGGTGTTTCCTTCAGAGTCGGAGTACGTCTGCCTGAAAGGCAACGAACCAACAGTCTACGCACAGGTAAGCTGGATATGTAACAGAGATATGCACACAAAACTCAAGTTCTTAAACAAGACCAAATTATAGAAATGGACCAACAACCAGAACTTTCTGCCCGAGTTCATAGTCGGTGAGCATGTAGATGAAGAAGAAGAAGGTACATCATCAGTCCATCTCTTCCTTGAATTTAGAGATTACTTGTTGGAAAAGAATACATGTAAATTTTGTTTGTTGTCATGCTAGTGCAGTGGTCAGTACACTTATTTCTCTGCTTGCTTGGTGGCCATGAGATTAAATTATCCTTGAAACAGAGATATTTTTTACATGACAATATAGCTCCTGGTGTGAGTCAACATCAGAGCATTAGTTCCAGGAAATTTAGTGGAAAGTTAAAGACAGTTGATAAAGACTACATTACCTGTTTGGAGCTTTCTCTCTTCTACCTTTCTAACCCCCAGCTGAGCATAGGCCCTCAGCCAAGTCACGTCAAGTCGTTCTATTATTCACCATCGCATGCAGCTCTCCCCGTTCTCCCCATCTTTTTAACTTTAATCTCTAGCTCCCTTGTGCATGTGTTTTTTGGTCTTCCTTTATTCCTAAGCCCCTGTGAGTTCCAGTGCAAAGACATTCTAGGTATATTGTTTTCAGGTTTTCTCACTGTGTCCTATCCAGCGCCAGTGTCATTTCTTTACCTTTGGTCCACTGGAACTTGTTTAGTTCTTTCCCAAAACTCTACATTTTGGAGCTTGGTGGTGCAATAACTAGACACTCTACCTACCAGACTAGAGGTCATGGGTTTGAAGCTGCATCAGTTTGTTTCTCCAAAAATGACCTCGGCTTTCAAGTCGACCTGGTTTAAAGTCTTAAAAAAAATGTCTAAAAAAATGTCTAATATCATCTGGCAATAATATAATGAGATTGACTTTATAATCATCATCATCATGTGCCCTGCCAACTGGCATAGGTGCTCATGCGTTTCCACAGATCTTGATCCCTGGTTGCCTGGAACAGCTCTCTTAATGATATCCCTCCATGTCATTGTTTCAGCCCATCCAGCATCTTCTCTCTTGGTTTGCCTCTGCCTCATTTTTCTACTGATCTTTCCAGTTGTCACGATTTTCTCCAGTGTCTCTCTTCTCATTATGTGTACAAAGAACACTGTTTATATCTTTCTTATTGTTGTTTATGGAGATCTTCTTTCATTAGCTTATTATAGCCAAGACAAAAATGCCATTGATTATGCATTTAATGTGTGTATTTGCTATTGGCTTTGCTGCAACAGCTCTCTGGGTCATAAGGGTTTCACAAGGGACAGTGATAGGAATACTGTATGGCAATGATCCCCAAACTGTCTACTTCTTCACAGGGGTGCCGCGAAATATTAAAAGATACACGTTTTTTTTTATTGCTTACATACGAATAGTCATACTCTTACTTAGGTTAGGGCACTGAATTGAAAAAAGGAGCTGTGACTAAGAAAAGTATTGGAAACACTGCTGTATGGTTTTCATTAGCACAGAAACAGGGCGACTGTGGAGGTGACTCATTTGCTGTGATGCTGGAACTGTGATTCCCTGATTCGAGAAACCAGAAAGAACAAAGTCACTACAGATTTTGGCTGTTTATTAAAATAGTTTTTCTTCTTCTTCGTTCACCAGCTGTGAATTCCGGCGGAAGGTCCCTGTAGTTCGTCCATTTGGACTTTTGGCTTTTACCTGGACCTGAGTTTTGCGTGTACATCCATTTTACTGGCTTATTTGTTTGCCATTCCCTGTCTCAACCCCAGATTTACTCCTACTTTGAGGGAAGACGTCAAGCCTATCTCTAGAATGACTGTGACCATATTACAATAGTTCAATTGGTATACATTTATTACAGTGGTAAAATTGATTATTTACTTGATGTTCCAGTTAATAACGTAATGATTTTGTTTACTGTTACCTAGGTAACAAATGCCCTTACCTTGCTGGTACAGAACATGACACAACTGGAGACCAACTCTGTATCTATTGAGAGAATTGTGGAGTATGCTAACCTGCCACATGAGGTGGGTTTTATCATGACATGTTTTATATATATATACATACACTGAGGTGAACTCAGAACAAAATGCCATGGACGGTGTTGTGTGGAGGCAGGGGACACATCACGAAGGAAATTAGAATAAAGGAAGAAATGATTGCAGATAGCATGAGAGCTGAGCAGATGAGAAGAAAATGACTAAACACAAATGTTGACAACAACGGTCTCCAAATCACATGCTGTAATTGTGGAAGACTATTCTTAACTTGGGCGGGTCTTGCTAGTCGCACTCACAATCGCCATGGGCTGTGACTCCAGTGCCTCCTCATAGGGCAATATAACACTATCATCTGAAAAGATGGAAAGGTGCCAATCAGTTGAATATGTATAATTTTCCACCCTAGACAAGATAGTGTCAGACAGACTGTGGGAACATCACTGTGCACTGAATTGATTGAGAAGCAGATCATCAAATGATTCAGTCATCTTGTTATTAGAGGGCAGCCACAACAATTACCAACACAGGCGCTACACTTAAGAAGATCTGGCATGAAAGCAAGAGGGCACACAGAGAAGATACGGTGATGACAGTGAAGACTAAGATTGGTACAAAATGGTCGCAGCCAGTGCTACCTATCATGCAATGGATTGTATTTAGTTCCTTCTCCACGACGTTAAACAGCAAAAGTGGAAATTTACTGTGAACTCTCTCTCTCTGTGTCTCTCTCTCTCTGTCTCTGTCTCTGTCTCTGTCTCTGTCTCTGTCTCTCTCTCTCTCTCTCTGTGTTTGTGTGTGTAGTCCTGTTGTGCCTTTATATGCCTCCATTCTATTATATTCTGTTGAATCACGTTGATATCATGGATGTAATCCAGTCGAGCACCTTTGGCCTCTCTCTCCCTCCCTCTCTCCCTCCCTCTCTGTGCTTGTGTGTGTAGTCCTGTTGTGCCATTATATGTCACCTGGGGTTCAGTCTGTGCCTCCATTCTATTCTATTCTGTGGAATCACGTTGATATCATGAATGTAATCCAGTCGAGCACCTTTGGCCTCTCTCTCTTCAATTTCTCTTGGACTCCTTATTTCATCACTCCCTCAGGTTCCATGTCAGCGTTTTGAATGCATTTCACTTTTGTTCTATGTCTTTAGCAGTTCTCAAACTTTCACTGATATTTTTTGTTGTTGTTGAGGGAGGTGGAAAAAAATTAACGTCCCAACCGGCACAGTTCATGACAACAGCTGCCAAAGCCATGCAACCCTAAGTCCTCAGGGTTAAGAGCCCATATCCTAAACATGCCTTGCTAAAACATGGTAAATACAGACAATTAAGACACGTCATGCATGATTGTCTAAATAGAACCTCTCAAATTGCACCGTGAAACATTTTTCAGACAATTGATAAGGAGATTTGTCAATCAGTCACGGGCCATCTCCACAGTCAAGGTTGCTGCAATGGATCTCCAACACTCTCTGTCTCTTGTCTTGGTAGTACACTGTTTTAGATTGCTGTTCGTCCCTTTCTTGATGTTGTCCTCCCACTTGTATTGTTGTCTGCCTCTTGCGGCCTTACCTTCAACGTTTCCTCCCAGTAAGGTTTTTACAAGAGTTATGTCTTTTAATGTAGCCACAATATTTCAGTTGTCCTTTTTAAAAAAAAAACATTTTTTTAGGAAACTTTCTTTTCATTTTGAGTATCTCCAGAACCTCTGTTGTTGATTGTTTTTGTTTAGTTTTTGTTTCCATGAAGTACAACGTATACTGGCGTCCGTGGCTAAGGCGTTTGCGAGTCCGACTCGTAATCCAACGTACCGCATCAAAACCCACTGCTGGCTGCGTGGATTTTTATTGTGGTATGGGGCATTGCAGGTCGACCCAGCCTAAAATTGGTACCAGGATGGCTGTCCTGGGGAGGTAACGACGGCCAGCATAAGGCTGACCACATTACCCATTGTGCGCCGATTGGTCTGTAAAAAAATGGGTGCTCTTTCCATATGCCCGATGCACCCAAAGGCGTGAAAAGGGATCTTTACTTTACTTTACTTACAACGTATACTACTGTATGTCCACATAATTGAAAACCCAAGTTTGATTTTCTAGTTGTTGGAGATTTATGGAAACAGAATACTGAATACATGATCACTTTGATTATTTATTCTTGATTCTCAAAGTACAAAAG